TTGTCAAGAAATTGTAATTTAAAAATTAAAAAAAAATTCACTAAAAATGATTTGTCCCATTTCTACTGACTCCCCCCATATATCTTTTTTAATTTACATATTTGTTTTCGAAAAATAGATTTGTAAAAAATGCTACAACAATATATAACTAAAATTTGCATAAACTGCACAAGATAACTTTATATAATAATGTTCATCAACTTGTATTAATGAAATCGTTTTCCAGTAATTTCTATGTTACAAACTTACAACGATATTATAAAAAATAGATGCATAATATAAATCAAAAATCTTCTAAATTGAATTATATAGTACAATGCAAAATTATCATACAATTATAATTCATACTAGAACCTTAATCATATTTTCTTTTGAGATTTACGCATCTTTTATTGTAGCTTTTTCACCATCATCACTTCTTTCTTTACGTTACTGTTTACATTTTAATACTTTCAGTAAATGAAAATCTACATGCCCGTTAACATATTTCTGTCAAATCTACACTGGAGAGCCCCTTTCGTTTATTAGATATAGGAGATTTTCATAACTTAACTTTTAAAATCGATAATCTTAATGATTCATCAGGTAGAGAAATATAGATCAATTGGTCAAGATGACCAGAATAGAGCAGGGCCGGATCAATTTGATCTGGACGGTTTGTAGCACCAATAATGAACACATTCTTTTTAGCATTCATACTATCCATCTAAATAAGAATTTGATGAAGAACACAGTCACCAGCACTATCACCATTTTCTAAACTTGATCCGATAGAATCAAATTCATCAGGGAATATCACGCATAGAGCAGCAGCATGTGTCTTGTCAAATAAATCAAATACTAATAAGGTCTTACCACATCCTGGAGAACCGTAGAATAATACACCTTTTGAAGAAGACATGCCAATTGTTCAGGATTGCTCTACAGGCTATTGTACGGTCTCTTGAAGTTCTAATTTGACCTTTTGAGTCCACAGATATCTACAGATATCTTTCCATGAGACTGTAGTGACTTACGACAGCAGTTTTTCGTAAAGCAGATCGATTGGTTACACCCAAGGCATACTAATAAATCAAATAAGTAAGGATTATATGAACGTGGCCTGGAAAATATTCTAAAAGCTATTAGGGAAATGTCAACACATTAATTAAATTGAGGGCTAATAGTAAATGTTCGAATGAAATAAAAAAGTATTAAACTTTTTTTTTGAAATATATACATATATATCCGTGAAACTTGAATTGCCTTTTAACTTCAGATTGAGGGTTGAGCATTTCTGTAACTATTTAGTAGAAATTTGGAAATATAAGCGATTTTGAAATGATCGACCTTTAAATTTAACAAATGAAATAAATAAGTATATAAATATAAATATGTATAGCAAATATGCAAGCGGATTTTACAATTAATAAAGAAACTGGTTGTAGTAATACAAGTCAAAAAGTCGATTGATCGAAAGTCGACCAAGAAACTAATCAACCTGAGATTTTCGAAGCAATTAATCGGTAATAGTTATCTACCTAATAAGTTTTAGAAAAAATTTTTAACTCATGAGGTTCTATAGTTAGCCAATAAAATTTATTAAACTATGTGTCAACTAACCAGAATTTAATCGACTACCGATTTGGACCACTACTGTTGAGCCGTTAAGTTTATTATTTTAGGGTATTTTGAAATCTAGTAAGTGAAACCGGGTTATGTTAATGAATGTCCAGAATTCTATAGTAATTACTGTTAAAGTTGCTGATTCTGTGATAATTTAAAATAAAATTAGAAAAAACTAAAATGGAAAACTTAATTTTATTACAACGGACAAAATCCACCAATAATTATTGTTTTGCTTGCAGGGATTTTTGGTATAATTAATATATAGGAAAAATCCGATAATTTACAATATGTAGTCACATTAACATCTGAAGGTTATTGCATAAACATTGAGATTATAAAAACGTAAAGTTGGTTGGTTGGTATTTGCTAAGTAAGAAAGTATATAATAAAGTAGTATATAAATAAGAACAAATATCATTAACACCCCAACAATGATACTTACCATACCACTTGAGATATTAGTCTTGATTGTTCAAAGTTATGATTAGACACTTGAATGATAATAGCATTTTTTTTTTTTGATATATAAAAAACCATATTCGAAGACCAACTGGGAAGGTACTGCATTGCGACTTGATACAAATACTGAAATTCTCTGAGAATTCTTATACTTCCAGAATTATAGGTATCTAAAAGAGGCTAGAACTTTATAGAGTAGAGGAAACTATGAGTCCGTAAGATAGCTAGAATAATGGTAATAATAAGAATTACTGTTATTTCATTAAATATAGTGAAAAATATATATTAAACGAATCTTTCTTTCGAAATAAAACAATTCGAGAGAGTCAAATAATTCTAAATAGATAGAATGTAGGTTGTTACTCATAAAATATTCACTTAATACCAACGTCTTTTTAAGTAAACTTATATTTCTTGTGCTCGTAATCTAAATCTAAGACCTTAGTACTCGGATAAAAGTCTGCTATGTTAGTTTTCTTTCATCTTCAACTCTACTCAGAGCTCTAGGCTGGTTTGATCCAAAACCGTTCCTGCATCTTGTAACGGTGACAACCTCTCAAAGATTTTAAAATTTTAGCCATATATAATACTTCGAAATAACCAGAGTGGAAGTTAACTTTACGATTATTTATAGGGTCGCAATGTATTGATCTATATAATGCATAAATTGTATTCTTGATATTATATTAAAGCGTAACCATAATTGCATCAACAATGCAACTTTTGTTTATCCGCTTTAGCTATCCAGTGATTGAATTAACTGTGACCTAATATAATTAAAGTTTATTGCTGTATTGAAACAATACCTTATAGAAAATAAAAGATAGATCTTAAAATTAATGTAATAGAAAAAGAAGAGTGAAATACAGAGTTAAGAGGAAGATAAACATTTAACTAGAGCTCGTGACTGCTCAAATAAGCCTAGAACAATCCACATTCCAATGCTCGATCTAAAGTTATTAAAAAAATCATTTGTTAAAGTCATCTTTTAAAATAATTAGAACCCTTAATCTTCTAATAATACTGATAAAATTAAGACTATAAATTGAAAAAAAATAGATACCATTATTATTAAACTACTACATTTGCACTTAAATAAATCAATTAAATTGTTAATATTAAAATCTTTTGATTATTTAATTTATAAAAAAAAAAATTTTTTTAAAGTAATTGATACTCCAATAAAATTTCTTTCTTCAAATGCTTATTCATAAATGAAGTAAATTAAAAAGTACTTTCATTTACTTACAAAATCAATTTCTTGTTAAAATGTTTAATACATGTAAAAATAACAATACAATACATTTGACATTTGTAATTCGAAAATACTATCGCTATGTAATCTGCTATATTTATCTATAGTTTTTTTATATTTTATCTTCATGTAAGGCATAGGTTATTATGCTACAGTAGTACACAACAGAAGATTGAAATATCTATTTTCTTACACATTTTCATGCTCTGGAACCTGCATTTTTTCAAGGAAATAGTTCATTCGTTCTGCAACTTCGCTTGGCACCATGTTGACTTCCTTTGATGGGTTAAGATAATTTAATATAACTGCCATACCAAATGCGATTGAATTTTTTTCTGTATTTTGGTCAGTAAAAACACTGTCGATGATCAGATTAAAGTATGTATACCATGGGTTTTCATTAACATCGACTGGCTTGTTTAATTTTGTGTAATATTTTCAGGTGATATTAGAATCCTTGAACTTGTGTTCTTCGTCATGAGAAACTTGCCGATTTTCAGTTTTAGGTTTCACAAGGTCCAGAAATTCGCTATGAACGGCATCTTTAACACGTTATACGATATTGCTCTGCACCTGATGTAAAAATTTCATGGCCTATTAAAGCAGATGAGATTAATATAATTAGAAATTATCGTTAAAAGTAAAGTATAGCGCTAGTGTTCTTGAATATCCTTGGTTATTAAAAAATCATTGCAATTTGTTTACCAGGGGGCGAACATTCTTGTTAAAGAAACGTTTCCATCCACCATTTCTTATTTTTTTTGAAATTCTTCCCAATTTGTATCCGATAGTGCGTCATAGCACACTTGCATAAGACACTCATCATCTGGATATTTAACTTTTTCAATTATGCTGTAAATTGCTTGGCTAACTGCATCCTGTTACAAAATAATAAGGTTAAACCCAATGATAATTCATATACAACAAACTTTACAAAAATAATTAATTTATTAAATAACACACTCCGATCTATTCGACTAACATATATTTGCTAGGATGCAATGAAATTACTGCCCATATTAGTCAAATTATGCGTCAAATAACAGATCGAAATATGCTATTCATCACTTATGTACTTCAATCCACTTGTCATCATTTTCTATATGACTGCCAAAACCAACAGCCTTCCAATCCACATACATTTCATCAATCTTCTTTTGTATATCCTGAACCTTGACTACCAATTGGAGCTGGATGTCCTGCATGCTTTTAATAGTTGTAATAAGACCTAAAAGAAATATATGAATATAGAAATATATAAATATACAATACTCAAATGATTTTTATCTGAAAACAATAAATAAATGATTAATAATGAACTTAACAGATTCTTTTATGCACATTCGTGTCTTCATTTATCGCTTCACCATTTTTTCGTTTGTGCTTGGAATTGGCCATCTCATTTTCTGATACAAAATCATCGCTGAAATGCTCATTATCACTCGAAGACCGACCTTCCGGGTCAGGAATATAATTATCATCAACCGAATTTAAATGATCCTCTACAACTACACTTTGAACAATCTGCTGGTTTGATTCTAACTGGGTAGTTGAATTGCCTGAACTGCCTAGAGAATTTGGGATGCTTGAAGCATTTGCTTGTTCTTCAAGGTCGATTTCAGGCAAAATATGTTGAGCACTTTTGCGAACTGATGCCGATGATACTCTTCTTCTAGTGCGACCTATATTTGCATGTCCCTAAAATAAATTATTATATTAAAATATATACATAAATTTGCATTATTGCTGTAAATTATTATATTAAAATATATACATAAATTTGCATTAGTGTTTATAAGAACGTTTGCTCTACCTTATGTGTTGCTTTCGTTCTACTTTCAACATTCGATGACACCGTTTTATGACACTAATTTTACTTTGATACTACGTTTTTCTTTAATATTACCTTAAGAAATAAAGCCAAAGTTTATAACTATTTATAATTTTTTTATTGACTTTATGTACGTAGATATGTTTGCATATTACTTTAATATTACCGTTGAGAAAGAAATAGAATCAAGTTCTATAACTAATTACACATTTTTTTCTTTTATATAACAAAGCTAAGAAATAGAACCAAGTTCTATGACTAATTACGCTTTTTTTTCTTTAGATGCCTTAATATGTATTTTTCTATTTATTAAAATTATGCGCATAAAAATAAGTTGATTTTACGTACAACGTAATAATTACATAATATTATCTTTATGCACGCATAGCTTATTTTAATATGTGCATAATTCTATTACCATTTGTAGTATGATGCAATTATATACGTAAAAAGTATAATAAAAATCATATAAAAAGAAGAAAAATTGTAATTAATAGAGTTTGGATTTCTTCTCAACTTTAATAACAGTAATATTAAAGAAATACATATTTCTTAAGCAAAGTAGTGTTAAAGTAAGGCTAGTAAATTAAGTGAAATAAGACTAGTGTTGAAATTGAGATATAAAAAGCCTTTGCAGCATAATCATATAGAAGCTAAGCCACGTGATAACATAGTATAGCTGTGAGCTTCAGCAATCGTCTACATTTTAAATTGTCTATTTTCTGAAATGCCAAAGTGTTCCTCTTGC